CGGCCTCCCCTCTGCACGGCCCCGGACCCCTCACCCCTCACCACTCACCTCCGCCCTCCGAAGGCCCAGCCCATCCTCTTCCCCTCAGGGACCCCGTCCCCTCGTCCCCTCCTCCCGCGACCCGCGCCCACCGGGACCCTCCCCCTCTCTGCAGGTAGAAGACGCCCTCACCTATCTGGACCAGGTGAAGATCCGCTTTGGCAGCGACCCCGCCACCTACAACGGCTTCCTGGAGATCATGAAGGAGTTCAAAAGCCAGAGGTACCCGCGGGGCCCCTTTCCACCTCGGGGGGCCCCCCTGGGCCGGAATCAGGCCTAGCGGGGTGAGACCTCCCCTCCCTAGGCTGCCCCCCTGGGCAGGGTGACCTTGCGCAGGTTGTCGAATCTCTCAGAGTCTTAGCTCCTTCCCGTAACAAAAATGAAAATGGATAGTACCCACCTTGTGGAGCTTTGTGGGGATTCCTGGAAGCGGGACAGGGATCTGGGGGGAGGCAGGGAGGGCAAGGCCGTGCACACTCATAGAGTCAAATCCAGCCTTGATTTAATATGTTGATTTTAAAATTAGTTTTGTTCATGAAAGATTTGGTGGGACTCATTTTGATTTTTTATTTTCAAACTCTGTAAAATGTTATTTGTCTTGATGATTGAAATTTTTGGCACCCTCTTCCCCTTTAATCTTGTCCTCAAGATGCTTCTCTGGGCTCACTGTGGTCCCAGGCCTGCTTGGAAGTAAGACGCATAAAATGCTTAGTAAGGGAGCTGGCACACAGAAAACGTTTAAAACACATGAGCTGATTTTGCAGGCCCAGAATCAAGGAGGATTACAGATAGATGGGAAACGCTGGGATCATGCCCTTGTTTTTATAGGAGGCTCACTGAGACTTGGAGTGGCTAAGGGACCCACCTAAGTGGCAGAGGTGACACTAGAACTCAGACCCTCTGAGTCAGACTCATGGAGGTCATATCCTTACCTTACTGCTGCCCCCTCTTAGGAAACATGGTGGAGTTGGCCCGGTTTCCTTCCAGGAGCCCAGTGCTAAGGGCTGGGCTGCGATGCAACCTGAAGGGAGACTCCATCTCTCCCCTCCTATTACTCGTTTCCCATACTTGGCGGTACCATTGGTATTTATGCATTGCAATTGTTTGCTCAGATGGAAACCTGTGTCATAGTCATCTCTATCTGATATGAAATGAGGGAATTTTTCACATTGCTTGGAGGACTTTGGCCTCCTGCCACTTCTTGGAGTCCAGGCCTTGCGGTTGCCTCTCCTGACATTTTCAGAACCGAGTGCCCATTCTTGGAGTGTTTTGGGGGAGCTGAGCAATGTCAGTATTCTCTCATTCCCACCAGGAGGAAACAAGGAGCTCAGGCCTAACCAGTCAGGAGATAGATCATGGTGTACAGACGCTATCACATGGGGCACTTTTTTTTTTTTTTGGAGACGGATTCTCGCTCTGTCTCCCAGGCTGGAGTGCAGTGGTGTGATCCTGGCTCACTGCAACCTCTGCCTCCCCGGTGCAAGTGATTCTTGTGCCTCTGCCTCCTGAGTAGCTGGGACTGCAGGTGCGCACCACCACGCCAAGCTAATTTTTGTATTTTTAGTAGAGACAGTGTTTCACCGTGTTGGCCAGGCTGGTCTCGAACTCCTGACCTCAGGTGATCTGCCTGCCTTGGCCTCCCAAAGTGCTGGGATTACAGGCAGGAGCCACTGCGCCTGGTGGGTCACATTTTAGGTTCCTTTGTTGTCTGTTGAGAAGGTTTTTATGTGACAGTATCAAGGGAGTGGGGAATAGATTACATTTTTCATTTACTTCCTAAGACCCTTTTGCCCACTTACGTTGTTTCTTCTAGCATCGATACTCCTGGAGTCATCAGACGTGTCTCACAGCTCTTCCACGAGCACCCTGACCTCATTGTTGGATTCAACGCTTTTCTTCCCCTTGGATACAGAATAGACATTCCCAAGAATGGCAAGTTAAACATACAGTCGCCTCTGACGAGCCAGGTATGCTGCTACAGTGGTTCGGGTGATCTCAGCCTTCACTGCGTGTATCTTGCTACTCAGGTTGGGCCACGTGTCTCTCTTGTATCATTGCTAGAAAGCCACTTAAGATCTGTTCTTTTTCTAGACATGCTCATTGCTTCTAGCACAAATCAAAATAGATATGGAAACACCTACACAAGCAGCCTCTGCCTCCCAAATTGATCTGTTTGGAAGATTTAAATCAAGAGTAGATGTCAGGGAGGTATCCTCCTAACACAGAATAACCACCCCAGCAGTTGCTGAGGTCTTGGCTTGCGGCTTTCCCAGCGAGCATACCAGGCAGGCTTGCCCTTGTATTTGGGTATGTCCTCGTCTGCCTCTGATCACTCTCAGTACCACCTACAAAATAAAGTGATCGAGATGGTGTGTGAATAGCCACGTTTATGGTGGTTGTGTTTCATTGTTGATAGGATTATTAGCTCAGTTGGGACTCCTGGCTTGACTTTGGTCCTTTCTTGGGTGATAGGTGCTGGCCCTTCTTTTTTTTTTTTTCTTTTTTTTTGGAGACAGAGTCTGGCCCTGTCACCCAGGCTGGAGTGCAGTGGCGCAATCTCAGCTCAGTGCAACCTCTGTTATTCAGGCGATTCTCCTGCCTCAGCCTCCAGAGTAGCTGGGGTTACAGGCATGTGCCACCATGCTCGGCTAATTTTTGTATTTTTAGTAGAGATGGGGTTTCTCCATGTTGGCCAGTCTGTTCTTGAACTCCTGACCTCAAGTGATCTGCCTGCTTCAGCCTCCCAAAGTGCTGGGATTACAGGCGTGAGCCACTACC